AACAGAAAGTTAACATATAAAATAAGCTAAACTAAAAGCAGACATCAGAGCTTCTGACTAGATGCTGATTCTATCGGCACGTTAATGAATCGAGTTAGACGATCCATCCATTGTTTGATCTAAGCCACTGTATACTAAATATATAAAACAACATAAAATACGAATACTAACAGTCGCCAGACCCACAAAGATTCATAAAATAAGCACTAAAAAACATTTGCACGAAACTGAATCAACAAAACAAAACTCACCCAAAAATATATGAAATTTCAACATAACATGTTGTAAAAAAAAGAAATAACACAACCTTATTGAAATATCAAACCGGAGCCTCGTAGTCTAGATTCAACGATCTCATCAACGGTTTTCGCCATTTGAGGAGTAAGATAATTCTTCCAATCACCAACTTCACCTTTCCTAAAGAATACATTAGAATCTATACCAATTCTCGTTGTCCCTTTCTTATTAATCTCCAAGTTCCTCAGATTACCCAAACTACACAGCTTCAAGATCTCCTCGACTGATCCACTCTCTTCTTCTTCCTTGGTGAATGGACAGTTCAAGAACTCAGCGAGTTTCTTGACTTGAACTTTAGGCTCCTCAATTATCTCTTCATACTTCATAAAAAGAATATTCTCTTTATCTTCTAAGCTCCCTTTCCAATAGCTCAGCACATGTTCCCAATAGGGTCCATATAAGAGAACTCCTCTACAATATGCATCAAACATGAGCTCAAAAGCGTCTTGACTCATCTTGGTGCGATGCAACATGTTTCTATAATGCCAACCGGAGACAAACGTATCTTTGATACCTCTACACACATACACGATTTTGCAAGGTGAAGAAGAAGACTTTGTTGTGGCTTCATGCAATGTGTTTAAGTGCATGTGTGTAGAAAAGATCATAGGAGAAGGAAACTTTGACAGATCTGGAGTTTGGTTACTAGTGTATAATTCAATCTCAAGAAATGGGACAAGGTCATGAGGGTTTTGTGAGAGCAAAGGATGGAGTTGGGGATTTTTACGGTATTTTTCTCTATTAACAACCGCAAAAGTTAGAGATTTGAGCCAAGTGGTGCCACCTTTGGGTAAAGAAGCAAGGATTATATCGGTGCTTCGTGGCCGGAAGTGTTTTTGGACATCAAGAACGGCTTGGAGTGTGTTGGGATAGTACCAACAACCTTTGTAGTTGTAGAGACCGTAACCCATGAAATCTTTGTCTGGGGGTAGGGAAGAGATCAAGATCTTGGTTTCTTGGCTAACTTTGTCGTCTTTCATGTAGTTTGGAAGGTGTGGTTCTTGAGAAACCTCCATGGTGATGATAGTGTGTGAACACAAAGATAGAAGATAAAAAGGAAGTAGGTTTTTCTCAAAAAAAAAAAAAAAGGAAGTAGGTATAAAAGAAATTTTGATGTGGACAATTAGGTATCACAAGGGTAGATATGTTTATACTTTATAGACAAGTGTTTAGATATGTCAACTTTCATGTACACGTTGTAATCATGAGTGCGTCCTAAACCACACATAACCAAACCACTATGTTCTGTTTTGAAATAAGAACCTTATCTTGAATAAGACTTGTCTTCAAAAGAAAGTGGGTCTTATTCAAGTGGGTCTTATATTTTATAAAATATTTAGCATACTTTTACCCATTTTTGAAGCTTTTTGAAGCTAATATAATTTGAACATTTGAGTACTAAATATATATATATATTTTTAAAAATTTGACCATCGTTCTCGTTGATCTAGTCTTGTTTAATGCATATTATCGATAAAAAATGGCATGAAAATTTCTTTTGCGTATGTTTAAAAAAAAAAAAA